TATCACAAAAAAAAAAAAAAAATCACTGAAAAACGTTTTAACAATTACTTTACTTGTAATTCAAATTGCTAGCAAATATTAAATTAACTGAAAAAAAAAAAGAAAAAATTATAAGGAAAAGTAAGATACAATAAAGTTAATTTTCACTGTTAAAAAAAAAAGTGCTTTTAGAGTTAAATTAATTTAATTAAAAATGATTGACCAATCAATCATCATTCATTTATTATTAGCATAATTATGATATAATGATGATAATAATTGATATCAGTGATAAGCAATAGCAAAATGATTATTTAAAGCTAAGATAGCATCACGAAGAACAATATTTTGTTTAAAAATTCGAAATTTTCCATCCGTTTCTCTAATTTAATCAACGAATTGAAAAAAAAAAAAAAAAATTGAGCTAACTCACAAAAATCTATTTTAATTTCTGTTTTGAAGTCATTGTAACAATACTATATTTCAGGTCAGACAACAAATTTATGTTTTATTCTTCAATCATTCAAAAATAAATTACTGAAAAAAATTTTCTATGAATGCTAGCAGTTATTCATAAACCATAGTTAAACCTAGCTTATGCGCCATTATTTTATTTGTTTAAATTAATGAAATATTGTAGAATTTGTTTTTCTCAATGTTTTAGTTTAATTTATAAAAATGGAATTCAATAAAATGAAAATATGAAAATTTTGCAAAGCAAAAACGATTATTTTATTTGTGCAAATAAAATAATTGTTTGAAAAATTCTTATAATTTTTTCATGGATATAAAATTTCAATCATTACATTTTTTTTTTCTTATTTCATCAAAAAGAAAAGTCATTTAATCGAAACTATTATTTAGTTTCTTTTTTCTTTCAAATTTCCTATTAAATTAAATTCAAAATCTTCTTTGTATATAAAAATTTTCAAAGTTTTTTTTTTTTTTTTTTTTTTTCAATGAATCATTTTTGTTAATAAAAGAAGGGAAAAGAAAGTAAATGATAATAGCAATAATAAATTATAATAATAAAAGGTATGAAATTAGAAATATAAATGGCATCCATAATTATAGGGAAGAGAAAAAAAAAGAATTTTTAATTTTTAAATTATACTTATTTCGTTTTCCTTTTTCTCAAAAAAAATTTGCTAAAGAAAAATAATAGTAATTGAAAAAAAAAAAATTTGATAGTGAAACAATTTAAGAAATAAGATATATAAATTTATGTATTTAACTGAAAGGAAAAATTTTTTGATTTTAAACAGAAAACAAAATTTTATATTTACAACAATTTGTGAAATTGTGACTGTAATTTTTGGATGTAATTTTTACCTTGAAAAAAAATTAAAATACTTCGTGTAAATTAAATTTATTACACGTTCTTTCATTTTTTATTTTCCTTTTTCTTTCTTTTTTGTCATCATTGAATTTGATGAAATTTAGGTTTAAATTCAAACTATTAATTGATAGAAATTTTCATTGTTAATATTCATACCACTGTAACACTTAAAAATAATATTATTGTGAAAAGTATTTAATACTAAATTTGATACTAAATCAAATGGCAAATGGAAAATGTATCTTTCACATATTTTCCATAATTCTATTTGAATGATTAGCATAAAATTGTGAGCAGCTTTTTGGCATAATTTAATTCAGTTTAATTTAATATTTCTTTTAACTGTTTATGTTGCTTTAGCCATTGTTTATTTTTCTTTTCTTTGCTTAAATCAACTAATTAATTAATCATATAATTCAATTCAGTAAATTAACCATAGTTGTATTTGTGATCACAATTCAATTTTGACCTTGCAGTTAAATAAAAAATTAGATAAGTGAAATGCAAGAGACATAAAATTCCTTTACCATTTAAAGTAACTTACCCAATTTCATCTAAAATCAAAAAAGATGGAAAAAAATAAAGAAAAAAATACTGTTTTTTTCTTCTTATATACTTTTTTCTTTTTTTATTGAAATATTACACCAATAAAAATATTGAAGTATAACTTTCAATATTAAGTTCTGCATTACCAAAGCATGTTTTTCATTAAAAAAAAAAATTTATTTTTTCTTTTTTTTTCAATTAATTACATTTTTTTATTCGTTTTTTTTTTTTTTTTTTTTGGAACAAGAATTTCAGACAAAAAAAAAGGAAAGAAAAAAGAAATTTTAAAATAAGATATGCTACCTGTTTAGAAATTTCCGGTTTTACTTAGTACAATAAACGAGGAAAGAGAGAGAAAGAGAGAGGGAGAAAAGAAAATTTGTCAATGGTAATATGATAATGATGGTGATGGTTGGTACCTGTACCGCATTATATGAAACAACATAAAAATTTATCCTATTACTTAGAGAATTTTTTTTTGTTCCTTTTTTTTTTTTTTTTTTTTTTGTCATGCAAATTACTACACTGAACAATAAATTTTGAGATGAAATAAGAATGAAATGAATAAGTCTTTTGTATTTTTAGCTTGAAGGCCAAAAATAAGAAAGAAAAAGGAATTGGAAAAAAAAGATGAAAGAAGAAATTATTTACAAATGTTAAATATTTTTACCATTTTAATCAATGTTATAGATGGTAAAATTCTTTTTTTTTTTCTTTTTATAACCAATTTAATGGTTTATATCACTAGTGATATGATACGATACAGTATGATACAGTATGCCATTATAGGATACGGTAAAATACAGTATGTTAATTGAATTTGATGCAATAAATGGTTTATTTTGCGAATTTTGATTACAGTCATAGAGATATGCGGTAAAAAGGGATAGTTCAAAAAGTGTATATAGATTAGTTTACCTTGAAATTGGATACACATATATATTTATTTATATATATAATTATTTATTTAAATTTTTTATTTCTTTATTTACTTATTATAACATACAAAAAAAAAAAAAAAAAAAAAAAAATCATTCTCTCATGTTTTGCATTTAATTTATTAATAAATTTCAAATTTTGGATATATTTTGAAACTAAAAATTAAAATATAATAATAGAAAATTGAACCATTTAATTTTAGCACATTTAAGAATACAACATTTTTCATGAAAAAATTGCTATATCATATAATTTTTTTCTATTTATCATTGTGCAATTATTATAATGCATAGATAATTTTGCAAAACAATTATCACTATGTAATGAATTTCAATGTTATATTAAATTTTTTTTTTTTTTTTTAATATAAAACAACGAAAAAGAGAAAAAAATAAAAATTTTTGTTAAACATAATATAATAATAATCATATAATTTAGTAAGCAATTAGTTAAGTAAGTAATTAACTAATTGACTAACTAACTAACCTGTGTTCGTGTTACTTCACGCCAAATATTACTTGAGCGTGATTTACAAAAGTCCACTTCATTTTGCATAACAGATTGTACATGTTGCAAATAATTATAAAACATTGGTACGGAAATTGCGCATATAAATGAAGCTATGGTTGATAATGCTACACCGTAAAATGCAACCCTTCGAAGATTTTCCGCTTCCTGTTGTCTTTTTTTATAATGTAATGCATCATCGTCCAAGTGAGGCCTCATCACTGCAAAAAAAAAAAAAAAGAAAACTTTTTAATTTCATTTTTCTTTTCTCTTTTCTTTATATTACAATAAAATTCATAGAATAAATTCTTTTTTTTTCTAAAAAAGGAAATGAAAAAAAAAAAAAAAAAGTGATATGGTAATGTTTGCTTTATACGTTTCATTTACGTTACACTTTTAACATAAATATTACATAAAAGTGTTTATAGTATGAATTAATTAATTTTCCAATACATGTGAATAAAAGTGTATTTTAATCAAAAAAAAAAAGAAACAACAACAACAATAATCATAACAAAATACTGTATAAAATCATATGTAAATAATACTGTATAGAGTCATATCTATTGAAAATTAATTCCTACTTCTTGAGCAAACTGAAAACGAAAAAGATAAAAACCACTATTAAATGTAAGCTAAATAAAAATTCATGTTTAAATTTGAAATTAAACAAAAATAGTTTCAATGAAAAAGAAAGTAGTAACTGCATAAGAAAGTAAAAAAAAAAGAGATGATAGAAAGCTAACATATTCAAGTGATAGTAGATATATTATGATAAGTATTTTTGTTTTCTCAGATATTTAATGATTCGTGTTTTTTTTTTTTTTCCTTTTGTGATATATATAAAATATTAGTGATAAAATTGAAAAATGAGAAATTTAGAATTCTCAAATTTGACTTATGAACCTTTTATAGGTAACTTTAATGTTTAGCTATTTTTGTTTTTCATCTCCATTTCACAATAGAAGTAAGTATTCAAGTATTAATATGTCAGTGAATACGGATTTTTCACAATAGAATGGTTTAAAGTAACAACTTCATAGTTTGTATGGAATTGCAAAGAAAATTAAAATCAAATTAACTGTTTAAATTTTAATTTGGATTTGAAAAATATATTTTTAATTAATGTAATAATAAAAATTTACAAATAAAAATATAGTAAAAAAAATTGAGAATTTATCTTCAAATTTTTCTTTTTCATTTTTTTGAGCAAACTGAAAACGAAAAAGATAAAAACTACTATTAAATGTAAGCTAAATAAATCATCGTTTTCATTTTCTACTAAAATGTGAAATAATCATCAATCAAAATAAAAACAAAAAAAGGAAAAAAAGATAAAAAGGATAAAAAAGAAAAATGAAAAAATTTTGTTCATAATATTCAAATTATCTCAAAAAATAGAAAAAGATTAAGAAGTTTAGCTGAAATGTAAATCAGTTAAACAAATTACTTTATGCATTTTCTTTTTTTTTTTTCTCTCAACAATTTTTAAATAATTATAATCTTTTGAAAAAGAATTTCTTAAAATTAAAACAAAATTCAAACTATTAAATTATTTAGAGCAAAAAAAAAAAAAAAATCTAGCATTATTGTTGAAATATATTAAAACAGTAAGCAGAAAGAATTCGCATCATCTCATATCATTTTTCTCATTTTCGTCCAACCTTTTATATGTATATTAACGTTATGGCGGTATTAAAGATGAAGAAGACGAAGAAGAAGAAGAGTAAGAAGGGCGGAATGTGGGAGGGAGTACATATGCGCCAGTAGATGCGTCAGTAGAAATTGGTAACACTAGATTTATCAAACATCCTTTCTCTTCTCTTTTCATCATCATCTTCTTCTTCTTCCTCTTCTTTCTTCTTTTTCAGTGCTTCGTTAATTTTTCAACAGGTTCAATCTTTCTAACTGTTTATGACGCAAAAATTAAAAAAAAAAAAAACGAAGATAACACTTAATTTTTTTGTATACTAGCTTTTTCTTTATAGCTTCATCTTCCTTTTCCTGTTCCTCCTCCTCCTCCTCCCATTACTACTACTAATAATAACAATAAATTACTAAACTATCATTACTATTATTATTATTTATCTTCAAATTTTCTCCCATTTCAATAATTCTTACTTACTATTATCTTTTCTCTACTTTTTATCTCTTTAAATTTTTCATTAAATGAAAAAGATAAAAAACGAAAAACAAAAGATAAATCGTTTGATGAAAATGATACTGACAAACATAATGATATTTTTTTTTTTTCATATTTTATTTTGTAATTAAGAAAACGAAAATGTTTAAACAAAAAAAAAAAAAAAAAAAAAGGAAAAAGGAAAAAGTGAAAAAACAGACTTTTACTTCCAAATATTTTGCTCGCTATAATTTTTGTATTCTCGAACTATTACACAATTTCTCCTTCATAGAGTATCTATTTCAGTGTAATAATATAAATGTGTTCTAAATTAAAAAAGAAAAAAAAAATAGAAAAATAATTAATGGATAAGAAAAAAAAAGAGAAAACGCTGAAGAAAATTTTATTTTTTATTTTTGATTTAATGACTATTTTGTTATACTTTATTTAATGGCTTTCTTTTTTTTTTATGGAATTGAATATGATGATGAACTTTATCATTACTATATTATTCAAAGAGAAAATTTTTTCTCTTTGATAATTTTGATAAATCACTTCTAACTGTTTCCGCTTTTTTTTTCTTTAATTTGAAAATGAATTCCACAAAAATCAGCAATTGAACAAGTTTATAAAGGAAAAGCAAAAAAAAACAAAAAACAAAACAAAAGAGAAACAAACTACTGTATGATAATGTTATCAATTTGAAAATTATATTTTTTTGATATATTCCACAAAAATTTTTCCAGCCGATTTTACAAATAAAAACAAAACAATAAAATTACATTTTGTTTATTTTCAAAAACAAAAAAATTTTTCATTCAAAAAGCAAACAAAAAGCGAAATACACAAATTATTGAAGGTCAGTTCATCAGTTTGAATAAATTTGATGTTTATTTTGAAAACAAGAAAATTTCAAAAGGTAAATAAAACCGATAATAAAAAAGTCAGAAAGAAAATATTCATGAAAAAATATTCATTAAGGAGAATTATATATTGGAAATAAAATACAAGTTAGAACTAAATAAAATATATATTATATCTTTTTGTTGTACATAATAAATAGCAAATTCGGTGCATCGAATGCTTCATTAATTCATTTTATAAAAACAAAAAAAAAAAAAAAAAAAAAAAAATAAACAACGAATGTCATATTTCATTTATTTTGGAAGGGAGAAAATTGCAAAGAAAAATAAAAACAAAAACAAAGTCAAAAATAAAACACTAAATCTATTCATCAGGGTGAAATATACATATGTATGAAAAATTGAATATAATTTTATAATTTTCAATAATAATAACCTGTAACTTTTGAATGTTTCATTAGTGCTAAAATTAGTTAAAAGTATAATAAAATAAAATTTAAATTGTATATTTGGCAAACAAATTATTTGAACATTTATTTCATTTTTAGAAGAATGCAACATCATATTGCAAAAAAATTCAACATTCTTACGCATGAGCAAAAGTATTAAGTAAAGTGCTAAATATTTTAATGCATTACTTTCTCTAAATTAAATTTTAAAATTTACAAATGTTAAATGAATTGGAAAAGGCTTAAATTATTGACAATTCTGATTTTACAAAGTGCTCTCGACGCACTTTACAGTATTGTTTCCGCTTTTTTTTTTTCTTCAAAGTGCGCAAGTGAAACATTTCTACAATATTTATTTATTTATTTTTTGTTTTTAAAACCATAGAAGAAAAAAAATATTATGCATAAAACTTTTAAATTATTGGATTGATCCTAGCAAGAAAAACAAAAGAACACAATAATAAAGAATTATAACAAATTCATATATATGGAAATCAAATATTTTATTTGCTTCATTATCACAAATTTTTTAGTATAATGATGATGATAATAATAATAATGATTATGATAAAATAATACTTACGTAATAATAATTATTACTATCATTAATGTTATTTTTACAGATTGCCAATAAATTTTGAACATTAAAATAATTGTAGTTTCTTTTTTCTTTTATTATTAGATTAATCATTACTATATGATATAAAAAAAATTAGCAAAAATTGCAGTCATTTAAAAAAAATATCAAAAAGTACTTAATGCAAAAAAAATAAATAAATGATGCAATGAATTAATATTAAAATTTATTTTAATTAATCACAAATTTAATTGTTTTTTTTTGGATAATGTGAATGAAAAAAAAAAAAAAACACTTAATGATTTGAAGATAAAATAATATATTCAAATCTTTACAATAGAAAAAAATAATTATCTTTTGATTTGATTAATAGAATCGTTTGCAATAATTCACATTAGGAATGATTGCAGCAATTCAAAAAGAAACAATTAATGAATTCAAAATATTTAAATAAACGAAATTTCAAGTATGAATTATCTCAAGCATAACCAGCACAAAGAATTATTGAAAAAGTAAAAAAAAAAAAAAGAATAGAAATTAAAATAATATAGATAAGATTGACTGCAAGGTAAATGTCGTTCTAAAAATATCAAATTGGCCAAATCATAATGAAACATCGAAAAATGGGATAATTGATCCAAACAAAAAAAAAAAAAAAAAATAGCATTAACAAGTTTTTTGAGAAATAATTTCACATAAATTAACAATTTTATGAATTATATTATAAAAGATATTTGAATTGAAAAAGAACAAAAAAAAAAATTTTTAAATAAATGAAAATTTATGCAAGAAAAAAAAAAGAGTGAACTTTTTACTTTAGAAGGCATTAATTTTCACGTCAATTATGTTTGTTTTTTTTTTTTTTTTCCCAAATTTCAATTTTAACAGACTAAAAATTTCAACCATTTTCATGCATATTAATTATTAATATAAAATTGCATATTTTTTAATTACTTTTACTTTATTTGAAGAAAAAAGAAAAGAAATAATTAGAATTTTTTTTTCAATTAATGAATTATTTAATCAAAAATTAAAAATAATTAGGCATATTTTCGTTTCTTTTTTTCTTTTTTTTTTTTGCAGTTACTATTGATATTACATTTTAAATAAATTTGTTTTCTTTTTTTTTTTTTTTTTTTAAATTTTATTTTGCATTCAAATAAACGATAATGCATTGATAGTTAATGATAAAGTGTGACAGAGTAAAATTGACAGATCAAACAATCTAAAATGGAAGAAAAGATAAAGAATGATAGCAAAAATGTCAATTTACATGAATGATATCAATGATAAGAGCGAAATAATTTTTGTCAATGATAGATCAAAAAAAAAGAAAATAGAAAACCTTAACCTTTAACCTTTTCACAATTTGTTATTCTCAATGCATTATTTTCATTTATTTATTCGTATTTCCGTTAAACTAATCATTTCCTTGTAATAAAATTTTAATTTGAAATAAATGATATTGACAGAATTTTACATTGAACATACCATTTCTCTCTCTCTCTCTCTCACTCTCTCTCTCTCTTTCTTATGAAAAAATTCTTTGAAATAATTTAGCAATAAAATTATTTCATTTATAATATTATCAAATGTAATATTTGTTTTTGATATTTCATGATAAGTTATTTTCTCATAGATTAATAATCACAATTTATCATTTTATTTATTTGTTTATTTATTTATTTATTTCATATTTATTTACTTACCTATTTGTGTCTTTTATATCATAGTTATATAATAAGAAATTTTTACAGCTATTTAGATATTATTCTCATTTCTTGTAATTTAGCAAAACCAGATTTAATGATGCACTTGAGATAACCATGCAATGCAATTAAAAGTTATTTTAATTATATATATTTATAATTAAAATGAACATTAACGGGCATGCTTATCATTTATCTATCTATCTATTCTATCTACTTATCAACATATCAATCAAAACAATCTAACTATTTTTCTATAAAATCATTTAAATCACTTATTTCAATCTTTGATATATTTATTTAAACAAAATATGATTTTAGTTGATGTGAAAAGTAATAATTGAATAATTTGATTTATAATTAATTACAATCTAATCTTACGCTTTCTTTTTTCTTTTTCAATTATCCTAAATTAAAGTTATGCAAATTTTTCATGCATTTCATTTTTTCATTTTTATTTACTAAATAAATTAAAATTTAAAAAGAAACAAAAGGAAAAACATGACTAGAGAAAAAAAAAAAAAGAGTACCAATAAACAGCTAAATTAAAATTTATGCAAATTTTTCATGCATTTAATTTTTCATTTTTATTTACTAAATAAATTAAAATTAAAAAAAAAAAAAAGAGAAACATGATTAGGAAAGAAAAAAAAAAAAAAAAAAAACAGTACCAATTTTAATAAACATTGATTAAAATGACATGTGAAAATTGTCGTTCCAGCAATACGTCCGTCAACCTAGCAAAACTATCCCGCTGTATTTTGTAAATTTATCATTTATCTGTCACAGTAAAATTCATTAAAATTTCCTTTTCATTAAATTTCATTGATTTACAAAAAAAAAAAAAAAAAAAAAAAATTTGTTTTGATTTTTAGCATTTTAATAAAATACATATAAACCTAAAATTATACTTAATAATTATCATTAATCATTTAAGAAACAAAAAAAAAAAAAAAAATTATTTGCTAATTATTCTTTAACAAATTTAATTTTTTTAATTTAATAATAATATTCAACAGAAAAAAAAATAATATTTAACAAAAAATAATTACAATTTAACAAATAAATGCAATCTTATCAGAAAAATATATTTTTTAATTCAAAAATTTTATTTTTTATTATATGAACAAAAAAAAAAAAAAAAAATTTA